TTATTTAACCTGTTAGGAGTACAACACTTTTTTTTTTTTACTTAATAAATTATATATTGTGATAAAACCATATGATAAAAGCTTCAACGACTATTGTGAAAATTTGATACGGTCACATGTACATACAATTTAATAGGACTATAAATAATTACATAAATAGCCTACACTGTAAAAAAAAAAATCTGTGACATTTACGGTAAAATACTGGCAGCTGTGGTTGCCAGAAATTTCCCGTGTGCGAACTGGAAAATGTATTTAGGAGAATGAGTGCGAATAAAATTTATTAAACATCCTAACTTACACGGTAGCCTATAACAAATGTATTAATTTCTTCAATTTATTTATGGGAAAACAGCGATACAGCCTCATATGATTATTGAACTTTAAAAAGGTGACGATTTAATTTAAATAGCACAGATGAGAAGGCGGGACCCCGGTAACCCTGTAAACAAAGCAGCGGCACTACTTTCTGTTTCAAACAGTCATTTAGATATTTATATTCACTTTAGTCTTCACCATAGCACCAAATAATTAATACTTAAAGACTTAATAAGCTGTTTATTTTATTTGATTTTAATCTAACCTAAAACATGGCCTACTTATATATTGACTGATTCGTTATTATTGTTCGGTAATACTTAACAGGTTCCATTGACATTAGTTAACTACATTAGTTAACATGAAATAACAATGACTGCGTTTATTAATCTTAGTTCATGTTCATTTCAACTTTTAATAATACATTATAAAATCAAAAGTTGTGTCTGCTAATATTTAATGGAGCTAACATGAACTAACAGTTGTATTTTTATTAATCAACGTTGACAAATAATATTAACTACACGGCAACAATTAGCTATTTGCACATTGTCAATGTTAACCTGTTTTAACTAAAGTTAACTAATGGGTCCTTATTGTAAAGTGTTACCTAATGTTCTTTCGTTCACTCTAATCTTGAAACACTTGTTTACTTTATATATATATATATATATATATATATATATTATTTTTTTGTGTGTGTGTGTAATGTGGATGCATGAAGTCAGTTCCCCTCAAGTTCACACAGGTGCCCTAGCAGAAACCACAGGTGTTCGTCACATTAAATATGGATGTGTTCCACTAACGTTTGACAACTACAAAGTGTCAACACTTTTTGTCTTGATTTTGAACAGTACATCTATTTTTTTTTCTATAATTTAAAACTCAGCAAACTTGTCTTCATTAAATATTTTACATGAAAACTCTGCTTGTGCTATCTTATAATAAATGCATTAGATAACAAAATATTCAACCAAGTTGCAATAACATTCATACATTTTTAAATGTGAAAAAACAAACAAAAAAAAAACTTAACGTTGTACTTTTTCCCAGGAAAATATTATTAAAACTAGATACATTTACTAGACTAACACTGAATTAGTTATTAGGACTCAGGTCATTTTTTACAGTGTATTAAATAGAGTCTGAAGCAAAATTATTTAAAAACCTACTTTCTGTATTCTGATAAATTAAATAATTGTGTTTGTAAATGTCTCCTTATATCCCCTTATTAAGCTAAAACACATAATTCGAAAAATTTGCATTGCTCCCCTAAATTTTTTTAATGTGCTCCTTGGGAAAAAGGTACGCGTCAAGCCCTGTTTGCGTGATTCAAAATCTATGTAGGGAAATTCCTGTTTGTGCTTGTTCCTTTTGAGACGCCTGCATTTCGCTCAACATAATTTTGCCTTGCAAAGGTAAATGTGACATTAAACCAAACATGATCCAGAGCCTCCAAAAACATGTCAACAAACCAGAATGCAGTTTTGTTTATTTTTACAATGCGTAGAAGTGCCACAGATACCAAGTGTGACTTTTCAGGTCTGCTGTTTCAGTGATATCTGTCGTTAATGTTGTCAGGGGGAAAAAGGGGATACTATTCAAATGTTATCCTTTTGAATTCAAGCAATGGGACTGAAAGTATAGTGATTTTGTGCACACTCATCTACTAATGACCAAAACATATGCGCACATCCTGTACAAAGTGCAATGAAAAGAAAACAGAAACATGGTTCATCTAGATCAGGGGTGGCCAACTTCAGTCCTGGGGGGCCACAGTCCTGCAGACATCAGCTCCAACCCTAATCAAACACACCTGAACAAGCTAATCAAGGTCTAGGGGTTACTAAAAGCAGCAGGAAGGTGAGTTTTTATCAAGGTTGGAACAAAACTCTCCAGAATCGATGTTGGCCACCCCTGATCTAGATGCCTAAAGTCGTGGTTCAAATTTACTGCAAATGGCGGGTCATTAGTGGCTCTGAAACAATAAACACTTTAAATAAAGACACTCCCCTTTACTGGACATGTTTGGGTAAGTTTTGATGTACCTGAAATTACAGTTTGTACTCTTTGGGATTATAGATACAGACAGCCCAGCACAGACAACTTATTTCTTTAATCTATTTACAAAATATTTTGTATGTCTCTGAAGAAGACCTTTTCACAGTTGCCAATTCACTGAAGCTCACAATAACAGCTGTCCTTAGAAGGCAACTGTTGGCCCTGCTATAAATGGCTATAACTGACATGCCTCCAATAAGTCTAGAAAGGCATTTTAATCACTTGAGCAAGAGACATCAGGTCCAGAAGCATTTAGTAATTTCTCAAAACGTTCCAGAAGCATTCATTGTAAATCCTGTGCTAATATGTCTCACTGTGACTGCACAGTATTTTGTTGTTCCTTATGAAACGACTGTCTGAGTGTCCCATTCAATTAATTCAGATATTACACATGAATGACTTCTCCGAAGTACTTCTCTCTTTTTTTTTTTTTTTGGTGCACATTTCTGTAATGTCTCAGAAGTTGAACTAGCTAATAATAGCGAGTGCTAAGTCTTTTCCTGGAATCTTCCCAAGCTGCAACAAATTCGTCTGGATTAGTGAGTGGAAGTGCTTGGGAAATGTCTTTCACGGCAAAGCTTCGATTCAAGGTTACGCTTTTGTTGACAGTCTAATCCAACACGTTATTAATGCTCCTGACATCATCTCCTGCTAGGCTGCGCGGCCACGGTGCACTGAATATGGCAGGGGGCTTGTAGTTGATCTTGATCTTGACGGTTTTTTCATTTACAGTTACAGTGTTTTTTAAGACATGAACGGGAAAAGACCTTTGCTGTTGTTTTATTCCATGTTTGGATATTTCTTCCAGGCTTCATTGGAGACTCAAGTTCTGAAACACTTTGTGAACTTTTGTATTTGAATGGCTTATAACAGGGTCATTTAAAATATGGGCATGACTTAAATTAACCCAAAAGCCTATAATTCCTAAACAAAATCTCAAAACTGTGCAACGTGATTCTGAAGAATCATGCAAACATTTATGCAGATTGGGCAATAGGTGGCACTATAACAGGTTAAATACAGCATACAGTATTTCTATGGTAAATTACCTAAAATTGCTTAAAATTGTCATTTTATCTAAAACTTAGGTGGTTACAGGTTTGCTAAATAATATCAAAGTCCCTTTAAGGCAAGTCATGTCACTCGGCGGCCATCTTTGAAACGCCTCTCAGGCATGCAAGTGCAGCTCCTATCTCTTTGAATGGGGAAACATCAAATTCTCCAAAACTGTTGGCCAAGCTTAAGATTAAATTTCATATTTCTTTTAACGGCAGCTGTAGTGACGTGCTGACTTTACCGATTAGCGATTGGCTCTTTTACTTAGAAGGCGGGTCTTCGTTCAATAAAGCGGCAATGTTGAGCGTTGCATTTTTCCCCATTTAAAACTATATGAGTGACTCGTCTTGGGTATTCTATAGTCTTTGATAATATGCATAATATTTTTATGCATGAAAATCCTGTCATCATTTACTCACTCTCAAGTTGTTCCAAACCTGTATTGGTTTCTTTATTCTGTTGAGCACAAAAGAAGATACTTTGAAGAATGTTGGTGACCAAACAGCTGACGGTAGCCATTGACTTCCATAGTATGGAAAAAGTACTATGGAAGTCAGTAGCTAAATGATGACAGAATTTTCATTTTTGGGTGAACCTTAAGGCACGTGGACCTCGGTGATAGTTTCTTGTGGATATATTTTAATTTATTTTTTTGTTTATCTTTCTGTAGCTCAGCTGGTAGAAAATGGCATTAAAAGGCACAATATGTCATTTTCGCCGCTGGAGGGCGAGTATTCAAAATAAACAGAGACAAAGGCGTAGTTTGATGATGCCGTGACTGAGTGTGGAATCATGGGAGTTGTCGTCTTCATCCCCACAGCCGACGCAATCTGACGGGACTCGGGCAGAAATCATGTTCATGGATGAGCTAATGATTTATTAACGTAATAGAATGAAGCAGGGTACATTTGAGAGTTCTGTTATAATGCTACTCTGTGCGGTCGTCACCGGTCTATTAAAACGCACAACATATTAAAGCGTCTTTGGTGTTTCCATGTTTTCTACAAAACAAAACCAGAAATCGAGGGGTTATGACGTCATTGGCAGGCGACACAATGACACTATGGACACAGTCCTTGTCACTAGTTAAAATTGCTTATTTCTCTGGATTTAAACATTCTTCGAAACATTTGGGATAATGTAAGTACACAAGTCAGCAAAATATATAACACTGTTCTAGTGGTTTTTGGATATTTTAATAAAAAAACTTACATATTGTGCCTTTAATAACACCAAGGTCATAGGTTCGATTCCCAAGAAATACACGTACTGATAAAATGGACATCTTGAATACACTGTAAATCACTTTAGATAAATGCGTCTAACAAAAGAATTGATGCAAATGTTTTCAGAACATTTTTAAAACATTGTTTTAAAGTGTGAATCAAACCTTGCACCAACAATTGTGTTTATCATTCTAGATTTTCTCAGTATTGTGTTTCCTGCCCTCATCTCTCAAGGGTACTGTGACCATGAGGCACTGTTGTTGTTTTTTCCAGGCCCAGGGTTCATTCTTCCCCCTGGCCCCATCACGGCCACTCAATTCCCACGCTGCCGTCCTGGACTCTTCGGTCGAGCTGCTCTCCGCTCTCAGCCCAGAGGAGAGGGAGCTGCTGGCGGCCGTGACCGAGCGGGGCTACCCTCTCCGTACAGCCATCATCGCCCTCCAGAAAACTGGCCAGCAGAGTCCAGAGCAGGTCAGTGAGGGAGATCTGTTACAGGGATTCAGTCTGAAATAAGAGATGGGATTCATTCGTGGGTCGAGATGTAATGCTGAGATTCTCTGCACCGTCCTTGGTGTATCACAGGGGAAGGTCAATCAAAGTGCATGCTGGGTTACCAGTATAGTTCAGTTGTCAGTGTGCTTATGAACATGCACTATGAACACTGACCACAATTTCATGTTTCTCATAATAATAATAATAAAAACATTTAGACTAGGTTTGAAATGCTTTATAAAACTATTTTAAATTCACTGAAATAAAAAATTAAATTGTTAATTGAAATCTGAAATTAAATATAAATCATAGATTAATGTAATGTAATAATATAGCATTTATTCATATTTATTAACAATTTATATAATAAATAATATTATATGAAGCTAAATAATATATAAATAATTGTCATACTTTCATTTGTGTTATTTCATAGTTTGGATGACTTTAAAAAAAAAAAAAGTAGGCCTATTTCAAATACTAAAGCAAAGATTTTTGTGTTACTCATATCTGCAGCTTTTATAGAGACTAATATTTTTTTCTCTAAGTTCAGTACGCTGTATAAAAATGTTATAATCAGTAAGTCATGGCAACTTGTTTTTCGTTCATTTAACTCATCAAATTAGTTATGTGAGTTATGTTAGTTATATAACATTCAATTCTACTTTTTAAAGTCAGTTTAACATAGTTTCAGTTTAAATGACTTATACAACCAAGTTGATTATGCTTACAAATTTAAGGTAGCAATTGAACTTAAAGGGGTCATATGATGCTGCTAAAAAGAACATTATTTTGTGTATCTGGTGTAAAGAAATGTGTTTATGCGGTTTAAGGTTAAAAAAACACATTATTTTCCACATACTGTACATTATTGTTTCTCCTCTATGCCCCGCCTTTCTGAAACGCGTCGATTTTTACAAAGCTCATCGGTCTGAAAAAGCGAGGTGTGCTCTGATTGGCCAGCTATCCAGTGCGTTGTGATTGGCCGAATACCTCAAGTGTGTGACGGAAATGTTACGCCCCTTACCATATTGTGATGATGCCCTGTCCGGCCGGAGCGATGATTCAAAAACATGAAAACCCATTATAAACGAGGCATTCGTTGCATCCAGTGGGGACATAATTATGGATTATAATGACTTATACTGTCTTTTTATGCGTTGCGTTGCATCGCGCCGCGCCGCGTAAACATAAAACCATGTCTGCATTTGTGATCGGAGAAATGACAACAACAAGCCCTACTCTACACTGCCCAAAAAACTCTCTTTAAATATATAAAATATAAAAACTCTTTAAATATAAAAAACGTACTTACAGTCTGTGAGTCAGAACAGCCGGCATTGTAGTCTACTCTACCAGGATCAGGAAATCCTGGTAGAGTATTTCTACGTCTGAATATTTGGGTTGAACTGTTCTGGAACAGTGTTGTAAATACAACTTAACCACTGATTTCTAGTCATGTCCATTTTTGGAAGGCCAAACAAAGTAATTTCGCTAAACACAGCGTCACACACGGCGGCCTAGAGTGAGC